TTAGACGTTCTTGTAGGGCCAATTTTCGCGTTAAAATCTCCAGCAATGACTTTGAAGAGGGTATGGTCTTATTTGAAGAATTTTTCGAGGTCCATATAGAACGCTTCAACCTCCTCTTCGTCATAGCTTGATGTTGGTGCGTAAGGAACGAAGATGGTCAAAGCCGGCTTTGATCCACATCGTTTCAACCGTAATCGTCCGATACAGGTTGTTAGTTGTTCAAATGAATCGATGTTCACGGTCCAAATTCGATTTGACGAGGACGCCAACGCCGCCGACACCTCTGCTAACGCATGATCCAAGGAACAGTTCTTCTCCGATGTCATGAACAGCGTGAAGAGGATGGCGTCTTCTCGTCTCAGCCAGGCCAACGACGCCGTACCTTATCCTTCTTGCTTGAATCAATAGATCTTCTACAACGGATTCGTGAGCAAGGGTTCTTGCATTGTAAGTACAGATCGTCATTTTAGCTTGTTTCGATCTTGGCAGCCTAGTTTGTTCCTGAGAATTTAGCAACCTTCTCCGTACTCGTCCTGCCTGGTGCTGCCGTACCAGGGACTCTTTCGGGTCAGGGAAATGAGGCCCATATTGTACTGTTTCGCATTTTGATACCCAACGTATAGCTTGCTAGTCTCGAACTGGGGCTGGGTACTCACGAGTAGCTTGCAGTCTCTTCGAGGAGCGGGAGGAGCTATCTGTAAGAAGCGACTTTAATCGCCTCCCATTATTCACAGCCGATTTTGCAGGCTTTTGCCGATATGATCCAGAATAGAGTTCCGTCAATTAGCGTTGCAGAAGCAGGGAGTTCATTCCCTGAATCCACCTGCGTCTCTAGAAAGCACACGGTCGCTTTTGGTTCGCGTTTTTTCCCCTATCCACCACCTGGGGACGTGTGAGTTTATGTTGATTGATTTTCAAGATTCTTACATACGCTCTCTATGTGGATATTACTTACGCTGTCATCTAGGAAAACTATTGAAATTCAGACAAAGCTTTGGGACAAAGTATCAAACCAAAGTGAGACGGAATATATTCGTTTTCAATAAATATTTCTGAATTGCTGGAAGAGCCTTGAATCATGATCTCATCTACAGTCTCTTATTCGTTCATATAAAGTTTCATCAAGTATTTTTTATCTCATCGTTTCGCTTACGCCCGCGCAGCATAATCCACTTTCAAAATTAGACTAAATAGGTAGCGCTTCCTTTCAAATGAGGATAGGTTGTGTTTCTCGATGAAATAAAATGATCAGGAGATGACCATATTTTCTTACGACGAGCTCGCTTCTCCAATTTCCATAGTGCTCGAGTTTAGCACTGAAATAGCTCTCGTGAATTTCCTCCCATTTTCATGACCGCATATTTTTCTTTTCGAATCTGAATATGGAGAGGACTTTGTATTGCTAAGCATGAGTTAAAGAACAAGACACGAAGCAAAACCAATATTTGAGCTTTCTATTTCATGGTCTTTACACTTTTTAAATAATTAGTTTATAATCTTCATAGGCAAGATAGTCTCACTATTTTAGCATTTGTTGCAATACGGTGAAACATGAGATTTGAACTTTGAAGTTTTTGACGTGCATGCGCCATCATTTATGGCGAGTCTCGTAATATGTAAACCGAGATAAGACTGATCGACAGTTTTATTTCTGCGACGAATCTGTTGCTTCGCTTCCTACTATAAATCTTACTGATCTTCCTGTTTGCAGATTAACAATGAATGCGGTTCCCATTGTAAGCAACTTTTTCTTCAAATCCAGGATCTATTTCAAATCTACAACAGAAGTTGTGCGTTCCAGAAAACCGTCTTGCTATTTTAGTGATTCTTTATACGAAAGAAAGGATTGTTTATAGTAGGATTCGCTGAATACAATTTAATACAGAATATGATTCGATACATTAGCATAATGGCTGACGTTTCGGCGTTATCGCCTTTTCGGAGCCTGGAATAATCAATTTGATTTTCTGAATACTCGGTCAATACCTTTGCATCCTTAGAAGACTAGACATGTTGAACAAATTTTGGGGCAGTATGCAATGATGATTTGACATCTACCAACAATTCAAAGCCTAAGGCTAGATTAGCGGTAGGAAAAAAGTGGTTTATAAACTTGACAGCAGTTAAGTTGCCAAAACACATCCCAACTCATCTCATAAACACCTTTCTCCTCATCCATCGCTCACAAAACGGAGACTTATGTAAAATGTTTGAAACAGCCATCATTGTGTGCGCAGAAAGAGAGTATAAGAGGAATCACAAACTTGGCGGAAGAGTGGAAGATAACGGAGATGATGTTGATGCACAAGTCAGCATATTTCAACAAGAATTCCAAATCATCTGCGCAAAAAGAGCTCCTGAAGCCTTTTATCAAATGCGAAAAATTTAAAAGTGAACCGTATGGATGATTGTCGTGTAATCGCGCATGACGTCGCGCCATGTCTCAAGATAATTTTTTCTCACCTAAGCCAAGAGCATTTATATCTTATACAAGATCCTGTACGGCTAGTGTCTAACGAAAGGCTGGAGGACTTAGGAGCAACTAAATGGTAAGTGTTTCCCATAAACACTTTATTGTCCGAACAATAATTGGCTTACTTGAATCAGCCATGATTTTAGTGTATTGAATGGCAATCTGTACTGAACTGTTCTCAATAAATCCTACTATGTCAAACGCTCGCGCCAATCAAAAATAACACAGTTAGTTCTTCAATGCGGACGTCAATAGATAGTCCGCCTTTGGAAGAACGACAATACTCCCAAGAAATTTTTTACGCTGTCTTATCTATTGCTAAGTGGCATTTTTGCTATTTGAGCAGTGGTTTCAGTTGCACTCCGGTATGTTCGCAATTGAGCAGTTTATTTCACTTGTTTGAAAAATAACTTTTATATACAGCGTAGAAAGAGCTATGTGCAAAATGGGCGTCAGTAGTGTAACGAATAGAGCACCCGCCACCGGAAAGAGTGCGGTGCGGGTTCTAGTCACGCCTGACGCGAAGGTTTTGCACATCACTCTACATCAGTGGGTATCTACTTTTATTTATGTTACAACACAATCCGAAATGATGCTTCAAACGCAATGAATAGAAGGCATTCATGCTTTCTAGATCCAGAAGGGTAAAAATGAAGCCAATCCATACGAACTGTGCTGCTTATTGAATTACAGAAGGATGTTTGCGTTGACTGTAGTCAACTTTCACCAAAACTGGAAGAAAGCCTGATCTTATTGAACTTACAGTGGCACTTTGGTCAAATAATGGACCAATAATGATTATCAGTACTCGTATTCATCTTTCTATTATTGGCATCTCTATGAAGATAGCTCATGAGCAAAATCAAAGTTCACATAATTCATTTTGGATTCGGAATTCAGTTACAATATTGTCCTTGGGTGATTGGTCAACTTAATTTCCGCAAATTTTGAGCGCGATTGAAACATCGCTCTAAAATCAACTAGTAGGATGATTAATCGAAGAAGGGTATTGAACAAAGAGATCTATAATTTCAAAAAGAATGTTTAGAGCCTAAGCGAGGTTGATACGCCAGGGCCACACCACGCGTGTTTCGGAGGTCTTGCCCTCCTCGTCAGTGATCAACGCCCTACATTAAGCCCTGCACTGTAGCATGGATGGAGGCGTATGTGGTGATGGCATAGTGTACAATTGGCACTGGTCCATCACCACTATTCAGTAGATGGATTTCGGCTGTTGGATCAAAACTGATCCACGACATCGACTGTTTCTAAAACCTAGGTTTTTTATAGGTTTGAAAACAGTCAATGCCATGGATCAATTTTAATTCACCAAAGAGATCCATGCTACGACGAAGGCCAAAAACGTCTTAACAAAGTCAAGACAGAAGAAAAAGCAGGAAGAAAAGAAGGCAACACGCCAGCCTTTTCAGTTCGCAAATTGGTTCCTCAATCTATGACGTCTGAAGGTGTGCTGACCGATGAGAGGCTACAGAATCTCTGTGTCACGCACAACTAGCAGAACACTCGCATGAGGCATCGGTTTTCGTGTTTCTTTTTGGATCTTCAGACCGCAACAGATGTCATGTGCCCGCATTGCAAGAAAAAAGATTATGAATATTGACATACGTTAATCAAACTCTGGAACCCCTGTTATTACCAGGGAAAAGATAATTCCTCAAAACGTCGGGATGTACCATGTCGTTCACCTTTACATGACCCATCATTTCGATTGACATAAAATCCTCTCTATTCGTAGTGGCATTTCCTGTCTTCAACTAACGAGTATAAAGATATACGCAGATTTTATGTTAACTGCTTCTTAGTAGTGTTACAATGTTATATCATCTAGTCAGGTCCAAGTTTATAGGTGCTAATAGTTGAGACATGAGCAGCGGGAGCAAAGCGATGGCCTTGGTGTGCGTAGTGCTAGCATGCGAACCGGCATGAGTGGAATGTCAGTTCAACTTCTGCAGGGTCGAATGTTTTGCACACCACTTAATACTCTTGAGATGTAGTTTGTGAGAAGGCTTAGAACCTTCTCAAAGTTGGTACGTATGGGCTGACGTACATTTCGGTGATATCACCCGCTTCATTAGAGCCACACGCCCCACAGTGGACTCTCCTTTATATCTGGGATCGGGAGACGCATTGGTGATAGCATGTGATATTGTGCTCTCACCTTTTTTCAATCGATGGCTTACGGCTGGTGATGAATATGCAGACATTACCTTCCAATGACTGTTTTTAGACCTTGCTATAAACATTCATTATGGTTAGGAATTGTTTAAAGCTATTTCGACCCCTTAAGGTCGAAGTGTACCAGTTGAGGCGCACGATTTCTTGGAAGCCTTGCTCGCTGCATAAAAGCTTTCTCCTAGACGTTTTGTAATTATTCCAAAGCTCAAATCTCTCGTGATATCAACGACATGTTTAATTTTCTAAAAAAGTCTCTAGAAAGAAAGAAAAAAAGGAAAAAGTAGAAAGTCTAAAAAAAGAAAAATGAAAAAAGGAGCGGTGTGCAAAATGGGCGTCAGTAGCAGCGGGTTAGTGCACGTGCTCTCGGATAGAATGAGATGTGGGTTCGATTCCCGCCTGACGCGGAAGTTTTGCACATCATTGGGTACATCTATGAAGAGTCTTTTTATTACGCTGCAGATAAAATAAAATGACGTTTCACACTCAATCTTCTTCATTTGCTAAGTTGGGGCTTTGATATGGCTCTCACTAAAGCTCCATTAGTTATTACATAACCGAAATCTCGAGAATTTTGATAATATAAGATAATATAACCACGATTTCAAAAAGTTATCACATGACGCTGTAAGAGCAAAAGGAAGATCACATTCCACACCTAAAATGCTACCCCGTCGCTTGGATGTCATAGGTGGTTCATTGGTAATTATAGGTGAAGTTTCTAAGTCCGAGGTATCTCTTATCGTTGTTACATAAAAAATGGAATATCACAATGACCCTTTCACAAAAGTTTTTTCCATATAACGAGTGATTACTTCTCTTGAAATCCTTCATTTTTCAGCGGTAATACCACGTTCTTGTAAAAATAAACAAACTTTCAACCGCTATTGTGCATTTGCATCTCCTGTCTTACAACAACGTAGCTTGAAAGCACATCTTCTACAACTAAATATTTCCAACAGAGGTCTAGTGTGAGGCATTTCCAATATGTTGCTCGAGTAAGTGTAGGAAGAGTGCGCGTTCATCTTGCGTATGGTACGATACTTTCTCTATCAGCACCCATATTCAGAATAAAAGTATTTTTCGCAATTTCTAGACGTTTTAGTGGCTATTCGATAGCTTAACTCTCGAAAATTCGAAAATGTATTTTATTTTTGAAAGGTCCTTATATTACGCTATAACAGTAATAAGAAAATGTTATTAAACACCCAAGCATCTATAGATGAGCAAAGCTAATTCTCAAAAAATTCATTAATTCAATGATAACACATATCTCGCCAAATTTAGTAGTGTCTTGGTTTCCCAAGAAATCCCTTCATTGCGCCGATGCGGTGAAATTAAGATTGCATTTTACGTACGGCGCTTATGCGTTCTATGTGCATGTAAATGACAGCATTGGCACCAAACCGTCGCCATTCAATTTGCAAGTCGATAGCTCAAATCTCGAGGTTTCAATGGCGTGCTTGCGTTTTCAAAAAATCCTCTTTGCAAGCTGTAGCAACAAGAATAGAACTGTGCTGCCCATTTGAGCACTTTGAGCTAAACACGGCTTATCTCTCAAGCTTTCACACCTATTCGATAGCGCCAATCTTTAGAATTTTGAGGATATTCTTGGTTTTTGAGAAAGACTTCTTAGTGCGTCGTTGCAGCTAAAAGAATATTAAGTTTTACACTCGACGCGCCACATGTAAATTGTGCTGCGCAATCGACACGGCGTCGAGTGTGAAACTCAATACTCTTCTAGCTGTAACAACGCACTAGAACGTCATTCGCGAAAACCAAGTTTATCATGAAAGATCGTTGAGATTTGTGCTATCGAATGGCTCTTGAAAATTTGAATGAAAACCTCTGCCCAGCGAAAGATGCTTGATTGTGAAAGAAAATTTGATACCTATGTTAGCGTCGACAAATTTTTAGGCCAATTTACAGCCTCGTGATAGCTCCTCAGTGATCTTTGAAAATTTTAGCAGCAGTTGCGTGGGAGAAAAATCAATTCATTTCTACCACATCTGGACAAGTGCAACGCTGTATTTGCAGGGAATCATCAATTTTGTGATGGCATTTGGCATATTTCCACTGTGGCTTGAAGAGAATAAAATCTTAGGATGACTTTGACCACCGAAAACGGATGATCTTTTGGCGAATAGCGGACGTACATGGGGATTGTAGAAAACCGAAGGCTATCGACTGGCCCCTCCTTTGTTGCATAACCTTCGCTTGTTGTCGCTTTGATTTATATTCAAAGTCGATGTCGTCAAAAATGCGCCTTTATGCTCCGATGATTGGCACGCTGGACAGACTGCCATTGCTTTCAAACTATCACTGCTTTGCCAGATGTCTCATACTGCACTTATTCATCGCGTTTTCCAAAGGCCATTTTGCTTAACGAACAAAAATCTACTGCTGGTGATTGACAAATAATAAGTTCTTTTTCTATGCCCAAGTAGTTACTGCATAATTCGTCGCTCCGACTAGACCCTCTATCTTGAGAAAGGAGTTTGAACTGGTACTAATCAATTTTACTAATCTAATGCTAATGTGCTACTGAAGTATCGAAGAACGAGCTTTACTCAGTTCCAATATATAAGAAAATTTTCAAAAACCACTTATTTTCGACGAGTTCTGTTTCTATGGATAACAAATGAAGGGACATATTCATTTGGATGAAAATGTCCGCCATTTACTGGGAATTCACGATGCTACAGAGAAGTTGAATAACCAGTCGGTGTTGTTTTAATTGCACTGCTAATCGGTAAGCATTTCCAACACCGGATTGTTCTCGTTTCTACCATGCGCTTCTGTAATCAGGGAACGATGGCAAGTGAAAATACTATAGCCATAAGTTAAATAAATATCATAAGTGTATCCGACTAACATCGAGTACAGCCACTAATATACAATACGAAATGCGAGTACTCCGCCCTGCCTACGAAACAAACTCGAAAAATAGCTGTTTTGCTCGTTACTCGGCTCTCTTGTATGCTCGTGGGTATGATTTGAAGGAAAAATCGTTTCCACAAGTAGCTGAAATTGAGCATTACTATGTCTTCAAGAGATGAAAACGCCATCAAGCTTCGATTTGGGTCAATCTAGCTGCAAGCAAAGGAAGAAAGCACTCTCCGTTATAATTTCTTCTGCACAATCGGAATGTAAAATTCCTCAGTAATGTGAAACGTGTCAAGGAGATTTTATTATATAAATCACACTGCTGAGCGCATATGGCGCAGTAGTTAGAGGTGCTCTGCGCAGCAAACAAGGTCGATGGTTCGATCTCACGCTCATGACCCACCAAGTCATCCATCTTTCCGGGGTCAGTGAACTGGTGCCGAACTAGTCTCAGATTTGCCTGGGAAAATAAGCAGCATTTACTCGATTCAGAGGGAAGCCTGCGCGAGTCATTTTGAAAGCTAGATATGCATTAGCAGGTTGACAACGCCGTTGAAATCCTGCGCAGCACACGACACCGTCGTTCGGCGAGCGTGGCGGCTACAATGACATTGTGGTAGGTTTCTGAAGAAATGTGGAATTTTATTGTCACTAGAGGAAGATAAGTCTCCAATAAATGGTAAAATATGATAGAAAAGACATCGATAAAGTTGTTGTGTGGTAACAATGGCGATGCTTCTCCAAAAACCCCGCATTTCCAGGAAAAAGCTACAGAGTTACAAAAATGTGATGTTTCAAAATTCTATTGAACATTTCTATGCTGTCTTAAGTATATTCATTCATATTTTAATCATAGTTATTTTTTATTTTCATGTTGACAACTTCTTGTTTTTACTCCCTGTCGCAAATGAATAATAATCAATTAATCCTTTCATTTATTTGAAAGGGCTATTGTACACCCCGATACACGTGTTTTGTCCCTTACAGACTCGTCAGTCGGGCAGAAGCCGTCGTCTTTCGGTCTTTCTATTAGTCAGTTCTCTCGGAAGCCTGCTCTCCCTGCAGAGAGATATCGAAGACGAACGTTTTACACTCTATATCAAGTGAAATTTTCACCTAACACAGAGTGTTGTGCACTCGATTGCTCTTTGGCTGGTATTTTCATCATATTAACCCTTGTTTCAAGTGTTTCAATAAGACCACGCTCAATAGGTCTTTTATTATTACTTGAGCTTACATGTCATGGGTTTATGATATTGTATTTTTGTTACGAGGGTTTCATTAAGACCACGCTCAAATTTCAATAGATTCTTTCATTATTATTCGAGCCAACATGTCATGAGGTATCTCTCTGCAGGGAGAGCAGGCTCCCGAGAGAACTGACTAAAAAAAGATCGAAAGACGACAGGTTCTGCCCGACTGACGAGTCTGTAAGGACGCAAACACGTGTATCGGGCTGCACAAGAGCCCTTACCAGACCACATGACATTTTGGCTCGAAAAATAATGAAAGAATTCTAGAAAACATCATCAACAAAACTCGGATTATCGCTTCATTGGAAATAAGCACTCTAACAAAAAAGGTAATGAAAAGTTTGAGTTATTCTAGCATTTTCGCCACAAGTGATCTCTGAGAATTGAAGTCGAAATTGCCGGAGAGGCCGTTAAGGATTCTATTGGAGCTAATTCTTGCGTTGCCTCAGTTCAATACACAAATTATTTTTTCACAGCTTTTATAATCAGCTGATAACTTTTCGAACACAGAAGCTGTAGCGTATGTGAAGAATGAGGAAGGTATCACATTCAAATTTCCTCATTTCAGATCTTGAAAAACCTGTTTTGCAGTGGTTCATTTTGCAGCAGGAATAGATATTCCAGCCGTCAAAAAACAGTAGCCAGTCGTTCTTCGGCTTTTCCCGATAAATTCGATGCGCCTCATTCCGAATTTCTCACACTTCACTGATTTCGACTCGATACGTAAGCGACAACCCACATAACAAAATCTACAACCAGTGGACCTAGATGTGAATCACTTGAACCTTGAAGAAGGCAAAGATGCCGAAAATTAATTGATCAAGACTTGTTACTAACCTCGCATTAGCCTAATAAAGCAGGAAAGATAAATGATTGCTCATCCAGTCAAATTTAGGCTTTCCAAATGATAGTAAGCTGTTCCATAATTTATTTCGTATTTCGACTATTTTTGTTATTTTATCTTGTTAATTATTGTTTGAATCAATTGATCAACAATATAATGACCTCATGATCTATGCAAAAGTGATATGCAACGACTTGCTGGGGACGATTAGATGCCCCTTTGAAAGAGTGAGGCTGACGACCAGAGAAGTCGTTAGATCACTTTTAAGTCCATTCGATTCTTCGAAATTTTTCACGCGCAAATGCTGATTTAGGATATGAAAGAAATGATCTGATCATTCCACGCTCTGAAGAAGGCGACCCGCCGAAACGATAACCACCTCGAATAATGTTTATTCAAGCTTCATTACTAACAATATTGTTGA